ATAATGGGTTTCACGCATCTATGTTGCGTAAGTACGTGTGCGACCCCGATCATGTTATCCCTCACACGGATATTCAGGTTCAGCCAGACTTGTCGTACGAGGAGCAACCGGCGGCTGTACTAGACCGTTAGGTCCGTCGGCTCCGGAAGCGAGATATTCCCCTCGTGCGCATTCAGTGGGATCGCCGGAGCTACCTGGGAGGAAGAGTCGGACATTCGCGCTCGTTTTCCAGATTTCCAGTTTTGATGTACAAAGTTCATGTATCCAGCTATGTTTTGAATTTCCGAGGACGGAAATTTTGTAAGGAGGGAGGATTGTAATATCCCGAGATATTATCAGTATAAAGTACGTTTAATTCCGATATAATAACGTTATTGTTTATTATTCCCGGAATTAATTAAGTTCAGTCGGGATTACCGAAATCTATTTTCGGCGTACCGTTTACGTCCGAAATAATTTTGGTAATTAAGTATTATGTTTAATTTAACAATTAAACATAAGTTAAGTGATTAATCACAATTAATCACTATTTTTAGCCCTAAATGCCGTAGGATTGATGGCAATTCTCCCAATTTTACAAGTAAAAGCCGTACCAATAAGAGTCATTTTCCCTACATTTCATTAAGGGCGTGACTTTCTTCCTCACAAAGGAACCAATTCTCTTTATTCTTTTTTAAAATACACGTGGCTTGAGGAGGAGTGGCTTAGTCATCAAATTATGCATAAGAATCAAACAAGTGTTAAGGTCATGAGAGACCACATCTTAGCTACATCATTCCCTCGTTACACGGCCGAGAATATAAGGAGATAATTAGACCAAATTTTCTCATTTTTTTTTCCTTAAGGCAAGCACCCCCTTCAGCATACATATACTTGTTCATTTCAGTAGCAATTTAGTTCCAACCGTACCCTAAATTCCAATACAAACGCACGGCAAACCGAAGCTCTATCGCACGGCCAAAAGGGAGGCTACCGCACGGCGCACGCAAGCAAGGAAGAAGACACGTTTATCCCGGTTTCCGTCGAGCGATTGAGGAGGTAATCTCTTCTTCAATTCTTATGTATGTTAATAAGATCAATTCAGAGTAAATCGTTCGGAGTAATTGTCGGAATTTTAGATTTAAACATCCCTAAGTCCGAGCGTGTTTAAGTAAGGCTATCGCCGAACAAGTTTCATTTTCTTTCGGCAACTCTCGAGCTATAAGCCTTTAAATGATCAGTTTAGCTCATTGTTAGTTCAGTATGATCAGATTGTTGAGGCAAAACGAAGTATGGGCAATGAAATGGCCCCCAGCCGTCGCTAATGCCTATCGCGCGGCCTTGGGTGGCCGTGAGCCGTGTCTTGTTGCTTTCGGTAGAATTCATGTTTTAGTCGTGTGTTTGTACTTTAATTTGCCTCATGTTGATGTTCTGGTCAAGTTGTTCAGTAGTGGTCGAGTAAAGAGGTCGTTCGGCCGAGAGACGGCAAATAGCCGTCGGCGGCGCACGGGCGTCCGTCCCGGTCATTCTTGTGTTCAGCACGCATGACCAGGGCTTAAATGATGAATTCAGTTATATTAAATTCAGT